CATGAGGCTTGGTGGGGATATCTAGATACCAGCCATAACATTTATGTACAAGCTCACTATAATGAGTGAATTTATCAATGGTCACAAATGGTCCTAACATTAAAAGAAAAAATAAAAATAAAAATAAACCCAATAGGCAAAATAGAGTTGTTTAGGTTTTGAAGAGTCTTTGCCATTCATTTGAGTAACTTTAGTCAATCCCTTAAGTACTAGAACTGAGTTTTCCTCACATTTCAATCCCCGCATTAGGGAAGACCTCATTTTTGCCAGCTTTTTCTTCTAACAACACTCCTTAGGCCTCTTTTCACCCAGCAAATGTTTTCTTAATACAGTTGGTCTCTCTCTAGGGACACCATCTTCAGATACTCAGATTGAATCAAGTCTTGTGATGTGTTCCAGTAGCATCTGGAGTATGCTACACAGTTATTACATTCTGGTTCATATTATTTATTTAGATTTCATATATGTCGCATGCTTGGGTGCTTGCAAACTTGAGAAAGTATCAATTGCCTTCTTAAAATCCTTAAGGAAATGAAACGATATGACCATGTGGAAATCTGAGGTTAGCACAATCTTGGTGTCATTAGTTGTACTTGTCTTTTTATGCTTAGAAGATAGAATAACTAGTTTGCAATGCTTTATCAAGGTGTAATTTACAGACAGTGAACTGCACATATGATGGTGTGTGATTTGTTAATAGGTGTTTCCATGAAATAAGCATAGCCCCAAGATGCTGAATCTGTACAGAACTGCCCAGTATACCCTTGTGTCCATTTATAATTGCTGTGTTCTACTCCCTTACCTTGTACATTCCCCAGGGATCAACTGACCCACTTTTGTTTTCTGCAGAACTGAGGATTGAACTTAGTGGGCTCATGCTGAGCATTATTTTTTATTTTGAAATAGGCTGTTGCTAAGCTATTAAGTTACCAAGAATGGGCTCAAACTTGTGATTCTCCTGCCTCTGCCTCCCAGCTTTGGGACGACAGGCATGTGCACCATGCCTGGTCATAGATCCGCCTTTTGTCACTCCATGTCAGCTCAGATTTTCTAGAGTGATATATATGCATGGAATTGCATGGTATGCACTCGTGATTTGGGAGGGGAGTCTGGTTTTTTCAATACACATGTCTTGAAATTCATCTACATTGTCATGTATATGAATAGTTCATATCTTTTTATTGCTGAGTAGTATTCCATTGTATGAGCATACCAAAATGTATTTGTCCATTCATCTGTTGATAGGTTTGCATTACTTCCAGCTATTGCAAATAAGGCTGCTATGAATATTTGTGTGCATGTGTGTGTATATTGATACATTGGAATTTAACAAAATAAAATTTACCCTTTGAAAGTCGTTGTTTAGACAATGAAAATACAAGCAACAAACACACTGGGAAAAATCATTCAGAAATGGTGACATATATGATAAAGGCTTGTATAAAAACCATATGAGCAACTCTTTTCTGAGAATTGAACTGAGACCTTATGTATGATAGGCAAGCACTCTATCACTGAGCTCTTTATGAAGAATTCTTAAAATTCAGCGAAAACACAATTTAAAAGAATGGGCAAATATGTGATCAGACATATGCCAAGGGTTTAATCAGAAAAACACCAATATTAGTGACTTAAGAGTTGAAAAGTGATTCAGAACATTTGGACACAATGTGAAGAACTGGGAATGATTTAACTAATTTACTATGTTTATAGTATTCTTTTTATACACACCAGAAAGCTATGTAATGCAGAACTCTTGTCTACGATTAAATGAGCTGTTTTGGTAAACATAAAAATTCTAAAAAATAACACAGCATTGTATCACAGTACGACTGTCAGCACATGTTTTTTCATTTCAAATGGTACCTATATAACGTTGTCTCACAAATGATGGCACATTTCAATGAATTATGGCATCGTTTATCTAAATTTGTAGTTTTTTGTATTTCTCTTCTCACTAATTCTTGTGTTGAAGGCCTTCGTTTAGTCATTCAGTTTCAGGTATAGTATTTTGCTTATTGTAGTTTCCAATGTATGTTTTAAAATTTGATGTTTTATACCTTGTTTTGTTTCTTTAACTTTGTAATCTCTTTTTTTTTTTTGCTACTTCATTCTTATTTTTCTTTTCCTTTTATTTCGGGGAGCTTCCTTTGAAAATGAACTTTTATTAAGTTCTGTGGTAGTAAAGGATTTTTCTCTTTTCCTTGAACTGGATTTCTGCCTAGGAAATTAACTTTCCACAAGAACTTCCCGCTTAATGTTTTCCATGTAGCTTGAGCCAGTCTGCCCCACATTTTCCCACTGCTTTCCCTTGCCAGCTCTTCTCAGCATCTGCTGGTCAAATTCCCATCAATCTCTCACTGCCCATCACACATTCTCTCTGTTTAATAAGGTTTTCATGATTTTCTGGGATTAAAACCTCTCCTTCCTTCAAATAGCAAAAGGAACTAACAGGACAGCACCTTTTCTGTCTCTTACAGATCTAATCAGATTTTTGCTTGGAGTTTAAAGACTATGTAGTAGTTTTGGGTTATTTGCTTATTTTTAACATGTCTTTGTATTCTGTTAAAGCATGGTGACTGATACACAGTATTGTGTAAATGCTGGTGGAATTGAATTAACTTTCTTTAGTAATATGTCTTCACACTGAGCTACATCCCCCAGCCATATAATTCTTGCATGTATTTTTTTACATTGTGAAACAAACTCTTGCTCGGTCATTAAGTTTCTAAGGTTGTGCTTGAATTTGTGATCTTCCTGTCTTAGTATCCCAGAGTTCTGGGATTCTAGAGCTGTGCCAGTAGGCCCAACTTTGAGTTAACTATATTTATTTATATTATATAGAAAACTCTGTTACATGAACATCTAATTTCCTGGTATCATTTTGCAAATCATCTAGAAGTCATTAATCTATTTTCAGAAAAGTGATTCACTGTTTTTGGAATTTATTAGAATCATCTGTGTAGGTTTTTGTTTTGTTTATACCAATCCTTGGCTCAAGCCAAATATACTAAAACCATAATTGCTGAAATTTTTTCACAAAATACCTAAAGAGTAAAAATGTTCTCCAAAGGGTTAAAAATGCTAGCTTTAAGTAGACAGGTGAGATGTTCTTCTGAGTTCCATGTAGATTTGGAGAACTTTCTTAGATTTCCCTAGTAATTGGCCAGGTGTTTTAAGTGAGCAAAATGGTGCATATATTAGAATAGCCAGCCTTTTTTGTCCATGAAAGGAAAAGATAAAATAATAAAATACAGGGTTCCTATAAGCCATTTTTTCACAGACTCAATGTAAGTTTTAATATAAAAACAACCTAAGCCTGACAATAATTTTCCTTCTGTTAATGTGGTAGTGTAAGAGACAAATGCACATGAAAACTGTTTTGTATCCTTCCAGTATTGTGGGCTGCTATAAAAGAATATACATTCTTTCAACTAAGGATAACTCTTTTTTTTCTGGCAGCATCAGCTTAATTTTGTATAAATAGTCTGGAAACATGATTTTCAGCATGGCTAGCAAAGCGTGTAGGGACAAGTTTGTAAGAGTGTATTTATACAGCACCCCAGGTAAGTCATTAATCAGATAATGTGCACAGTTCTCTACTGTGTACCCAGGAGCCCAGAGTTAATCATCATGAAGCATTAGATAATAATTAATGTGCTTAAGTTTGTGTCTATACAAACTTCAGAGTTGTCTATAGGGCTCCTGTCCTTCATATATTTAGAAACTAAAGAAAGAGAGTGGATGTAGCTGAATTTGTTTAACTAACAGCTGATAGAATAAACATTCTCTCCCATTGGCTGTAAATAGGTGTGTCTTTGTGGGTCTGAGATGACTAACAAATTTGCAAAAGCCATGCAGTAGAAAGTGTATGAATCTTCTACAAAGATACAGACCTCAAAATGCCAGGGTTTAGAAAGAAATGATTGCGAGTTCTAGGAAGAAGACTTGAGTAGAGTGTTTCCTCCAAATGCCATGTGTTGTGAGCCCAGGATGCTATGGGGAGAAGGTGGATCCTTTAAGGGGTGGAGCCTGGCAACAGGAAGTGAAGCTGTTGGAGGCCTGTCTTTGGAAGGAATATTGGGACCTTTGCCCTTTCCCCTCTTTCTCTTCGCTCCTTGCCTGCCATGATGTAAATGGACTTCCTCTATGTGTTCCTGTCATGATATACTCTATTGCCATAGGCCAAAGCAACATGACTACACTACTGTCATAGACTGAATTCTCTGAAACCATGAGCCAAAGTGAACCTTTTCTCCTTTTAAGTTCATTTGTTCACGTATTTTGTCATGATGATAGCTAACACAGCAGCATTTATCTTCTGTTGTGTTGTCAGGTACGTGATCACTCTGACATGCATTTGTGACCTACCTGTGTGTACAGTAAGTCCCTGACTTACAAATGAGTTCTGTTCTAGGAGAATTTTCATCCTTGGAAGTTCAACAAAGTGAGTCTTATACACCTTTGACACAAATATACGTGTAAAAGCATAAAAACCCAAACATACATGCAAAAATTATAATGTCAGTATTTTTACTTTTACAGTTACCTTAAAATAGTGGTACAATAGAGCATAACAACTGGAATATTGGGGCTTGCAAAATTGACAAGAGATTTACTAACCAGAGGAGGTGCAGTAGGTGGGAGATGGTGGAACAGTCTACCATCTTTTTGTCTCAATCTAATCTCTCTATTATTTTCGTGGCTGTTTCCATGGTTATTGCTTTGTGCTTCCTAGCAGTCCCTCCGCATCACCACTGCCTTTTCTCTGAACACTGTGAGCTCTGATTGAGCACTGTACCACTGTGCACTCTGGCACTGCACCATACACGCACGCAGCACAACTGTGACCATGTCTGGCAGACATGCCAGCTACTTCCAGGATTTATTTGCCTCTAGGAATATTTGAAGTGCATCTGGTTTACTTTTATTTTTCTTTTGTTGCAGGGACAAAACACCCAATACCCAAAATGAAAGAAAGAAATGTTTATTTATCTTACTGTTTGTGGAGGTTTCGGTCCATAATCAAATGGGTCCGATGCAGGGTGGCATGGCAGAGGGGCAACACTTCAAGGCAGCAGCCAGAGCGAAAGGGAGGAAAACCAGACTCTTCTGCTGCCTTATATTGTACTCAGGCCAACTCCCCCACTTCAGGGTGGATGTAGCACTCACAAAATCTCCTTGTCTTCCTGGAACAGAATGAGGATATTTACCAAGTGAGAAGGTTGATCCCTGATGAGTCAGTTAAACTTCTAAATTCTCACATTAACACAATATATCAACCATAACAAAGTGCAAGGTGCATTAGCATCTGTGAAAGTTCGCAACTCTAATGTACGTAAGTCAGTGACTTTCTGTAGTCCACTGGTCACCATTTTTCACACAGGTAGAGCACCCCAAGTTGTCAGGGTTGCACTAAGCACTTGGGGTGCACAACTGTCTGTAAGTGCCAGGATTTGTGTTCTTAAAGCACGATCTTTTTGACAGGAGAGCATAGGGGAGATGTTTTGTGTAGTCTGTTATTAGGATGTAAGATTCTAAAGGGCAGAAAGTTAATGCCTCATAGTACCTGGAATTCTGCTGGGAACACAGTAAATGATCAATAAGTGTTTGTTCACTGAGTATTGCTGAATCACAAAAATCTATGTATTAGCTAAAATTTCAAAATTCACACATATTTTAATAACATAGTTCTATATATAAGGTAAATAGGTTGATTGTAGGAAATTCAGAAAATATTTAAAGCCTACATGAAGAAACAGAAATCTTTGGTGGTTTTGGTTTATGTTTTATACTCTGATTAACTACTTTAAAAATTATGGCACAGTGTATTAACTACTGCTATTCTCTTATTATTTTGCTAAGAAATATTGTTTTATTTTTTCATACAATAAAGAAATAGAATTATTGATTACATCATTAGCAAGAGTTAATCATAATATGCATTTGATATTTTTTCAGTTCATGCGTGAGTGTTTTGTAAAGAGGTGTATGTATGTATGCATGTGTGTGTGTATATCCAGAAAATGGCTAGAATTGTGTACATTAGGTTTTGGACTTAATATTTTACTATATGATTAAATTCTTTTAAAATTGTGATTATTAGTGACTATGCAATTTCAATTATGTGTATTTTCCATAATTTGTTAGATATGTGCTGTATTTGAGATCATGAGGTTGCTTTTATTATTTATTTATGGCAAAAGAGAAATAATACAATTGTGAATATCTTCATGTCTTTACTTTTAAAATCACTAATTATTCTCATAGGATAATTTCTGTCTAAAATGGTTATAGAAATTTATAAATGAACTAAACATTTTCAAGAGTATGTCTTTTACATTATTCATTTTAAATTTTTCAAAATTTGTCAAAATATCTTATGACTGGGGCTGGGGATTTAGCTTAGCGGCATAAGCACCTGCCCTGCAAGCAGGCGGTCATGAGTTCGATCCTCGGTACCGGAAAAAAAGAAAAAAAAATCTTATGACTTTTAAATTAGCAATTAACTTACTATTTATAACTAAATAGTAAATTTAGTAATAGTAAATTTATAACTAAATTTATTACTAAATATATTTTCATAACTGAATTTTTACTAAATAAATTCACTGCATAAATTAATTTATTGTTCTGTCATCTTATTTGTGATTTGTAGAAGGCATTTATGTCACACACAAGTTTTTTCCCATCTATTCCACTCTAAATTTTATAACATTTTTTACATAGAGCAGATTTTTGTACACACTAACATTAATTTGTTCCTTTTGTAGGTTTTCTTTCTACAATATGCTTTCTCGATGGAAATTTGTATTTTTCCACTTTGATTGTTTTGTAGGTTTATGTTTTTAGGTGTGCTACATTTTTGTTGTGATGCTGGGGATTAAATATAGGATTTTGTGCATGCCGGGTAAGCACCCTAACACAGAGCTACCTCCCTACCTCTGTGCAGGTGACATTTTAAGACAAGATCTATCTACATTGTGTTTGAGTGTGAAGTATGAGAGGAATTGAACTTTCTTTTTTCCCAGATATCTCATTATAATTTGTCTAATAGTTGTGTCTCCTCTTTCTTATTTTGCATATAAATTCAGTTATTTCTTGAATTATGTTCCTAGAGTCTTTGTTAAATTTTAGTATCTGTCCTCTATGATTTGTGAAATTTAATAATACTTTATATGCAGTAGAGTAACTCTCTTCTTTTCATTCTTATTTTTTAACTTCAAGATAATTATCACCATTTCTAACATTTCAAGTTAATTTTAGGATCCTATTCACAACTCCAACAAACAGAAAAAATAGGATTTTCACTGAAATAAATGTATATAAATTTAAAATATAACTTTAGATGAGCCAACTAATTTAAAATGTTGTTTTAGAACACATTACACATATATACTTCACAAAATTCTGTTTGTGCAAATGTACATTTGCTATTTCAAATCTTGTTTGATGTCTCTTATCAAAGTTGTAACACTTCCTTCACATGGAGCAAGTGTATTTCATATTATATCCATTAATAAAATTTTAAGGTTTTTCTTGAGATTTTAATACAGTTAGGAGACAGAAATTTTCACATTTTGGCTACGATGAATAATGTTTCAAATAATATGTGTATACTTGTTTTTGTGTGAACATATATTTTCATTTCACTTGAATAATGTCTCTTAATAGAACTGCTGGATATTTAACTACCCGAGTGTCAGACTGTCTGCGATACCAGCTACACCATTTAATATTTTTACTAACAGAAACTGATCATTCCAATTTCACCGCCTCCTCACCAATACTTGTTATTACCTGACCTTTTTATTTTGTCTGTCCTAGTGGATGAGAAATAGTATCTCATGATTTTTAATTGAGGGTTTTATTATACCTTTAAATTAGTTATTCTCTTCTCTAAAAATAGCTATAGTAACTCTTGTAATAGATTGCCTCATTCGTGATGCCTTCCCATGCCTGTGTCAGACACATTGACTGGTGCCTCCTACAGTGAGTACTCTTGGCTGACTGCTGTTCTCCATCCTTTGCATCTGATGAATCAGGACAGTGCACTCCTTAGTAATCCAGGCTCTGCGTCCACACTTTCGGGGGTCAAATCACAGCTTTATCACTACTCACAAGTTACCTTGATCAATTTATGCACATCAGACCATAAGTGACTGCAACATCTTGCATTAAAGGATGTGATTTATGCAAGAGAGACAAAAGGGAAAATGGGCATGGTGGTACCTGCCTGTAATCCCAGCTACTCAGGAGACTGAGGCAGGAGGATGTCAAGCTCAAGGTCAGCGTGAGGATCGGAATGAGACCCCATTTTTAAAAAATATTACAAAAGCAAAAGTGTACACATTCTAAATCTAAATTCTTAGATTTATACTGGCAAAATTGGCAAGCTGTTATATTTACTTTCAGTTAAAATAATAGTTTTAGGTATACATGTATAATTTTTAATGAATTTCTTCTTTAATAACTTGTTTTCAATAAGCAAACCCAATTTTATCTGGAACATATAACCATATGTGTTTTTGTCCTCATTTCTTGTACACTTAACTTTTTCGTGGGATTCTACTTATTAATTGATTGATTGATTGATTGTGATGAGGTCTTACTATGTAGGTCAGGCTGACCTTGAACTCACTATGTAGCCCAGGATGGCCTTAAACTCCCAAGGACCCTCCTACTTTGGTTTCCCGAGTGCTGGGATTCCAGGAATACACCACCACACCCACAACTTTTTCAGTAAATTGTTCGATTTTTAAGAATTAGATACTGGTGATAAATAGTAATGAACTAGTAAATTTTCAGTTATTGGCTCTAGAAAGACATGTGCATGTATTCATATACACACACACATATATACACAGATTTTTTACATGTTTTTATAAAATTATGTTTATAACACATTAGGATTTATACAAATTTATTAACAGGTTTGGAATAAATTTTGATGATATGAAGGATTATAGCACACAATGGACAAGAGAATAGTGCATGTACAATACATTTTGTTCAGACTTCAAATGGATAATTGCTCTCACAGAATGTTTTCCTTAATTTTTTCAAGCTCCCATATTTGTAGCCAATCGACAACCAGTTCAACCTTGAATTGCAGTTGGAGTTACAACTCAATTTGCTGTTCTCGATAAATTTATTGTCATCAAATTACATACATGATCTATGGTTAAACTCTTCCTCACCCTTGATCAAGAGCAGGCCAAAGACATTAATTCATAATATCCAGAGCTTCACCACTGCCAAGATTCTGTTGCTCAAAACGTTGTCCAGAGAAATCTGTCTGGAGTTGGATGCAGTTCGTTGCTCCTGTTCCTCTCGCTGCAGAATGAGATGTTGAATCATATAACAGGACAGTAACAGTTCAGATCCTGTTCAGCCAAATGTGGGAAAGGCAGCTAGTAGGAAAAATTAAATTTTTATTTTTTATTTTTCTCCTCTTTTCTTTCCATGCAACTTTTAAGAAGTTTCTTGTACATAGCGACTCTTTCTCCAATGTGATTTTTACAAAACTCATCTATCATTCTCTACCTGTGTTGTTTATAATCCTTGCACCAGCTCATATATATTTATATTCTTTATACAGACTCCCCTGAGCCCTATTCATAATCTCTCAAACTTGCTTCGGAGATAAAAGTGTCTCTTCAATCATTTAAAATTAAAAATGAGAAATTCTCTAAATTTTTTTTCGGGTTCCTGGCAGCAAGTTTGTCTGGTTTCGTAGAGGATTTTTCTTCCACTGCCATGCGCTGTGTTTGTGAAGAGCTGATGGTTCTTCTCTCTTTTCTTCTCCTTACATACTGATTTATAGTCAAACGCGACTTCTAATTCTTCCAGATGATAAACACCTTCTTGAAATCTTTTGAACCCAAATAAAAAATAAAGGTGACATTTACTGTACTTTTGTATTAGTTCAAAGAGAAACCTGGGGAAGTCAATTTACAATTCCCTGTGCTTTGGTTGTGATATTTCTTCGTGTTTGAAACAAAAATAAAGGTAAACACAAGTTCACTATTCATTTATTTTTCTCTTCAGTATCCCCAAACCCCAGCAGTGGTAAAGAACAGATCAACTGTTCTTTCCCTTTCTCTCTGCAGGTCCTTGTTCCCCAATCACTTATGTCCCTGCAGTGCATCTGGTGACTTCCACGTGGCTCCAAATGCCTGTTGT